CAAGCGTTTGATATCATGGTAAGCTCCCCGGGTTGAGGTTTGCAGGTAAGCGACTGGGATTTGGGTCGCTTTAGATCAATTTGGTGCCAATTTTGTGTAGAACGGTTCACATGGAACAAGCGAGTTAGACGTTTTTTTGCCTTTGTTCCACAAAAATTTTTTTCTTTCTTTCTCTTTTGAGGGTTCCCGAAAAGGATCTTTCCCCTCTAAGGACAATACGAACAACGTATCCTGTCCTAGTTACCTTAGTTCCAGTACCCAGGGACGACTACGGGTATCCTCATAACGTGTTGTTTTTCTTCTGGTAAGTTCATCAGGTAAATGCGCCGTCACTTGCGAGCGCTCTTTTCGTTCAGCAGTTTACCTTCCTTGTTTTCTCTTCTTTGGCGCCACGACGGTGGAATTCACACATTTCGATTCGGGCTGACTCTCAGTCAAGCACCAGAAAGCTCTCCTAGCTCTTGCGCATGTTGGCGGTCGCGCTTTCAGCGTTATCGCCCCTTCCATCTCTCTCGGTATGTAACTATGGCTGCCGTGGCGCGGCAAACAACTTTTCTCAGGCATGCCTTTCTTTGTTTTCCCTACTACCGTACCCCGCAGCTTTCTTCCCATAACATAGCGATGGACGTTCCTTCAACATGGCGGTAACACTTCTATGCCACAACATCCATCCCCAACGCATTCTCTTACCAAAACATTTCTCCCCTCCTCATCATTCCCATACCACCGCCCCGCTTCACATTCCATACCTTTACGCTCTCGGGGGCCTATATAACAGTCAGTTCTCAGCGGGTGGATGCATTCATATCGTGTTCGTCGTCATGCCCGATCGCTAATGATGCCCGTTTTTAGATTCAGCCAAGGGCTCTTGCCCAGCTTTCTGACACTTTGGCCTCAACCTCGGGTAACGTAGCGTGTTCGCCTGCGGCGGATTCTACTTCACCTCGTGCTGCTTTGGCCCGTATGTCGTTGAAGTTGGGCTCCGCTCCTGATTCTTCAACTTCCGGACGTGGTCTGGCCCCCGCTACGATATCTGGAAGGTTCTCGAGCGGACGCGTTTTCCCGCTATCGGACCCCCCCCCCTTCTTCCGAGCCAGGGCCGTCAACGTCTACCCCCACGGCCAGGGTGGCTCCATACCCCGCCAAGCGGTTCTGCTCTGCAGTGACGGCCTCGCCTCTTCGCGGGATCCAACCTCATCCCGCTCGCTCACCGCGTTGGGTGCAAACTCCCGATGACTACGTCAATGAGTTTTCCCACCTCCACCCTTGGGGTGGCCTCGTCGAACCCCGCCCGCCGATACTCAACCTGACGGAAGATATGCTCACGGCGCAAATGCCAGCTCATGTTTACCGTTTCATTCCGCAGGACGGTTACTTTGCGAGCCGCTTCGTACGATCATTGTTCCCTCGTCGATTCGTCGGAACTCCTTCACCCACGAACAAAATTTCGATCATGGAGATTCCCGTCTGCCCGACATCATCGCGTTTCGGCAACATGCGATGGCATTGGCAGACGAGCTCTTCGGATTACACGTACGTCAGCGACTACGAGGAAATCATGCACCTCCCTTCCACCCCTCTCCGCGTCCACCCTTCGCTACTATGCCCACCTAGCATGAAGGGTGTTCGTCCGGTCCTCTATCAAGTCGTTTCTCGGACTTACGGTCAGGGCGTCATCCTCGAGGCAAAAGATTTTTTCATCCCTGGACCCGATCTACGGGAGCTGCACTGTATTCCACTCACACAAGAGTCCGTCAATCTCCTCTCCCAGACACGGGGATTTGATCGGGACATGGTCTCGGTGAAGGATTTCTTCTGGGTATACTCTTTACGACCCACCACCCGTGCCTTTGAAGCCGACGACCGGGAATATATCCTTCGTCAAGCTCGTCGTCCGCGCCCGACCGTTGTGGATTCTCCGGCACCATATTTTTTCCGGGTTCACGAATTCATACCGGTGACGCCTGATCCCTCGCCACGCACGGTTCTCGGGATGGTGCTCTCCGTTACACGCCGCGGCCGCGATCACGAGTTTGTCAACAACTTCCACGCAGCTTTCGAGGGCTGCCATGACGCTGTGCGGATTTCGCCGACCTTGTGCGATTTTCCACTCGCCGAAATTGAACGGGACATGCTCGTCTTAGCCGTGATTCGGACCAACGTCTCCACGGCCATGCGCTTCTCTCACTCCCCGATTTCCGTTGAAGCTCAGCG